CTGTTGCTACTCGTCCAATGACAGCGACTTGTCTCGAAAGCTTGTGAGGGTTGTCCGAGTACGACGAGGAAACAGCATTGAGTCGCCTCTGAATTTGCTGGTATCTCCCCATCTCGAACGTGAAACTTTGTCCAGGTTGGAGAATGAAATGAAGCAGTCCGATTTTATTTTTTTCGTTTTGGGGTTCTGGGATTATGCCCCACCATATCTTATTGGAAAGTGTGCCGTATCCGCATTTTTGAATGAGGATTTCCTGCGTGCGATAAGAATTAAAATCAAGGAACTGAGGCCACCAGGACGACGTGAGCCACACAGGTGCACTGAAAGAGCACTCAGACACGAGCTTCACCAGAAAAGAGGTTCTACCGCCACCGGAACGCCTTTCCAATCCGGTTGCTATGGACCACTGGGTGCTGTATGAGCCCAAAGTCCAAAACTTTCCGCTGGTGGACGGTCTTTTTCTTTGTGGACTCAAATCCGAAGACGCTGGTTGGTCTGCGGATGGCTACGGCGGGTGGGCACCACACCAGAGCCAGCACTGTGAGGCAGTTCACCGAGTATCTGGCGGCATATTTTAATGGTTGGGAGGAGTTATCCCGAGACATGTCGTGGGAGATGATTTATGTGCAGCACGCAGACAGCACGCCGATGAATGACTGGCAGAGGTGTGATGTCGTCAATTCCAATAATGTGAGCGATGATGAAAGCCGTGAAATAGCGGCGTTTTGGAAGGAAGAGGTGCGCCAGTACCAAGTGCCAGTATCGTACAGAGGCTTTAGAAGAGAAGAAGCACTCCGAAGTGAGGAAGAACCGTCGAAATAGGAAAACAAATTGGGGAAAGGGGCAATTTTGATTTGTGGTAAAGAAATATTGTGGGATTTATGTATTCTTGGATACTTGTGTATGCATACGGTGCAGGTGCACCAGCACAAGGCGGCAGTATATCGCACAGATTTCAGAACTGTCCAACGCTATCGAACTTAACAGTGACCGAAGAAAATTAGGGAGGGGAATGGGTTGTTTGGCTTCTGGTGAAAAACATTGGGTGATTTCTATATAGTATGTTAGTTGTGTGTTTGCTCACGAGGCATAATTGGAGAATTTCCCCGGTATGAGGGAGTCAATGTGGCTGGCGGTGTCGCAGTACTACTGCATTGCCCATTTTATTCTGTTGTGCTCTAAGGCCCATCACGAACAGAAGCATCTTTAAGGGATGGACGAAGGATAAGTTCTATTGGGGAAATGGTGTGCTCCGTGTGACCGCATGGAGCGAGGCGCCGCGTCATGGATGGGTGAGGATCCGCTTCCGCGTGTGGCTCTTTGGGTGATTGCTCGCTTGGTGTGCGTTGTGCGTTGGCTGCGGGGCTGTGGCCGTATCCCGTTGGCTGTGGGAATGAGCTGGAGGCGGCGGCGGTGTGTCGCTTCTTTTCTTCTTCCATTGGTGGTTGATTGGTAGCGGTGTTTGCCTTCGTTGTGTGGAGGGCCGAATCCTCTCACCCGCGGACTGGCAGCACTGCGATGGTGTGTGTATGTGTGAGGGCTGGTGTGGAGTTGCCGGCCAGGGCGAGGCCCTTGGCGATGCCTTTCCCGCCTGTCTTTTGTTTCTTCCGTGTGTTTGTGCTGCCTTTTGCTTTTTTCTCCTGTCATCCTCCCCTGCTGTGTTCCTGCGTGGAGTGGCCGCATGCTCACGGGCCATGTTGATTGTGAGTGCCTCTTGACGGCGTCCATTCATCTCTCTCCGCCTCTCTGTCTGTCTTTCCCTGTTGGGTGTGGCGTGTTGCACCGCGTGAGGGCTGGCCCGCACACACCGACGGCCCGCCGTGACTTGCCGTGTTGCTGCTCTTTTCTGTGGGCGATGGTTCTCCGTGCCGTCTCTTCCGGATTGTCTCGTGTCCCGCTCTCTGCGTGGGTGCTCTGCCCTAGCCCCCGCTGACGTGTCTGATGTATTACCACTGTTGTTGTTCTCCCCAATTATTGAACACAGACACGCTAGGAAAATAAGCGCTAAACGCTACTGTGAGATTCGAAGGCACTGAAAGGACCAACAGCACACACACCGCCCATACACACATATTTATATGCTCTCACGTGTTGCTGCAGTGAAGGCACCCCGCACACACAACCGTCGCCGCGTGACCGGATCCCGCGGAGGAGGAGGGAAGGAAGAGAGAGTGAGCCGCAGAGGCCCAATATCTCCCGGCGTGTTTGCTTCCACGGTGCTGCTCCTCCTCGTCGTGATGATGTGCTGCGGTGGAGCTGCGACCGCTGGTGTGGGAAGTAATGCTGATGCTTCAACTCCTGGGTCGGCATTGACGGGTGCCATTGCTGGAGAAGGGAGTGCTTCAGGGGGTGTTGAGGGACTGCAACGGGTCGATCTTTTTGTGCCGCAGACGACGCAGGTGCTGGCGAAGAAGGGGACTGACTCAGGTCGGAGGGATTCATTTGTTTCACCCTCTCTCGTCAGTGCTGGTGGAGTAATTGCTGCTTTTGCCGAAGGTCAGGTAAATGCCAAATATCAAGGTGGTCAATTGACTAAGCCGTCTTTTGACGTTGTTTCGGAGAACATCGACTCTGCTTAGGAATGGTCTACTCTTGTTGGTGAGGTCGGTAAAGGAAGAATGGAGTGCACACACTGTGCTTGGTAAAGCGGAGGGGAAAGAGGGTTCGGATGTTGTGCTCCGCCGCACAACAACCATGAAGGGCAATAAGGTGTTTCTTCTTGTGGGAAGCACTGATGTGTCCTATGTAGATGGGAGTTGGAAAGAGGGCGGCTTGGAACTAAAACTGGTTGTTGGTGAGGTCACGAATCCCACGGGCGGCGAGTCGAGTAAACGGATCAAATGGGGCGAAGTCCAGTCTCCGTTGAACGAGAGTACTATAGCCGCTCACAAAGGTAAATTGACGGAGTGCCTTGCTTCTGGTGGCTCAGGTGCTCTGATGGAGGATGGCACCATTGTGTTTTCTCTGATGGCGGTGAATGAAAAAAATGGTGGCGTTTGCTCCATGATTATCTACTCGAAGGACAACGGCAGTACCTGGTCGCTCTCTGAGGACATTTCCCCTGCGAAGTGCACTGACCCCGCATCACCGAATGGGAGGGATCACTTCTCATGATTGTTGATTGCGAGAATGGCCAGAGTGTGTTCGAGTCGCGTGACATGGGGACAACGTGGACGGAGGCCATCGGGACACTCTCGAGCGTGTGGGTCAACGCACGACCAAGAGCTCCCTGGGACAAAAGCCTGCGTGTGGGAGACCTCATCACCGCCACCATTGAGGGAGAGAAACTCATGCTGTACACTCGGCAAGGGCACTCCTTCTGGGGACTGAAGCCAAGGCGCTCTACCTTTGGGTCACGGACAATAGCCGCACGTTTCTTCTTGAGGCCCTTTCTGCGGATCATGCTGTGGGTGAGACGCTTACCAACGCCCTGCTGTACTCGGATGGTGCGTTGCACCTTTCACGAGAGAGTATTGTGGGAACGCGCCGGGGCATATCCCTTGCCGCCTGACGGAGGAGCTGAAGACGATCAAGTCCACCCTCAGTACTTGGGCGAGACTGGACGCCTTCTTCTCCAAGTCGTCCACACCCACGGCTGGTCTGGTTGGATTCCTGTCCAATACGTCGTCCGGTGGCGACACGTGGATCGACGAGTACCGTTGCGTGAATGCAACGGTGATGAAGGCAGCGAAGGTCAAAAATGTTTTTAAGTTCACGGCGCCTGGGTCCAGGGCAATGTGGTCGATGAGCAGGTGGGGACCCAATAAACAGTACGGCTTTGTGAACCACAGATTCACCCTTGTGGCGACGGTGACCATCCACCGGGTTCCGAAGGGGAGCACTCCTCTGCTGGGTGCGGGTCTGGGGGACGGTGCCGGCACGAAGATCATTGGGCTGTCGTACAGCATGAATAGAAAGTGGGAGGTGTTCAACGGCACAAAAACGGCGCCGGGGAGCACGTGGGAACCTGGGAGAGAATACCAGGTGGCGCTCATGCTGCAGGACGGCAACAAGGGCTCCGTGTACGTGAATGGCGAGCTTGTGGGGAGCCCGGAGACGCTACGAACACCTGAGACGCGGGGGGCTGAAGTCTCATTCTTCTACATTGGGGGCGACGAGGGAGACATCAACAGCAATGTGACGGTGACGAAGGTCTTTCTGTACAACCGCCCACTGAGTGTCGGTGAACTAAAAATGGTCAAGAAGAGCGACGCCAAAAAAGGTAACAGTGACGGCTCCATGCGTGGGGGCATCTCTCGGATGCTGCTGTGCGGCATTGTGGCCCTTTACTGAGAAACTGCAGTGAGGACTTCCTGCCTCCAGCGGGAACATATGCGTCTGTCCACGCACTCTTCTAAATTAATTGCCACTTTCTGTGACGCCTTGTTTTAACCATTTTATTTTACTTTGTACCCCCCTCGCCGCGCAGGTCCCTTCCTCCATGTGGAAGCATGCTCCCCCCGGGGCCATCATCGCGTTGTTTTGTTTGGTTGGTTTTTTATTTCCCCCCCGTGTTGTGGTCCTCCGACAGCGGCGGGATCTACTCAGTGTTCTTGTTTTTGTTTGTTTGTTTGATCAGAGGCGCGCTCGGCTTTGTGTGCCACGCCGATGGCGCCGGCTAATAAAGGAGACAATGGAATGGGGTGCACGAAACCACGCCGAGTGTCCCAGTGGAATATCAATAATGTGTGGGCACCGGGGGTTTAAACGACTGGAAGGAGTGTGACGTATTTCTTCATTATCTGCAGGCGGGACATGCGCACCGATTTGGATGTCACGCAGCAGCGTGCAGTTTTTTCTTGTTTTTTTTTTTTTTTGAGTGATTGCATAATGGAAGACGGATTTATCCTTTCTTACTTTCCAGCATATTTCCCGCGACTCGCCACGGCGTGGGCAGCCG